AGATGAATCCTTAACAAAATATTAGCAAATCAGATCCAGCAATATATTAAAAACATTATTCACCATGACCAAGTGGGATTCATTCAGGGATGCAAGGCTGGTATAATATTCGCAAATCAATAAATGTGATACACCACATAAAGAAAATGAAACATAAGAAAACATATGATCATATCAATAGATGCTGAAAAAGCATTCAACAAAATCCAGCACCCATTTCTGATAAAAACGCTCAGCAAAGTGAAATAGAGGGGTCATATCTCAACAAAATAAAGGCCATATATGAAAAACCTACTGCCAACATCATACTCAATAGGCAAAAACTAAAAGTATTTCCCTTAAGAAAAGGAACAAGACAGGGATGCCCACTTTCACCACTCTTATTTAACATAGTAGTGGAAGTCAGCCACAGCAATTAGACAAAAAGAAAAAAGTAAAAGGGATCCAAATTGGAAAGGAAGACGTGAAACTGCCATTATTCGCAGATGACTTAATATTGTACACAGAAAACCCTAACAACTTCATCAAAAATCTACTAGATTTAATAAATAAATCTGGCAAAGTAGCAGGATACAAAATTAACATCCAGAAATTGATAGCATTCTTATACACCAATAATGAACACTCAGAAAGGGAAACTAAAAACACAATCCCATTTACCACTGTAACAAAAAATAAATAAAATACCCAGGAATAAACTTAACCAAGGCAGTAAAAGATCTGTTCTCAGAAAACTCAGGACATTGAAAAAAGACATACAGTTGGCCCTCGTTTATCGTGGTTAATCAGTTCCAGACTCTACCATGGTAAATGTATTTCCGCGAAGTAGGATTCTTTATTTATATACAGTTGTCCCTCGCCACATCGCGCTTCGACTTTCGCAGCTTCACTTTATACTATACTATATTTGAAAAAAAACACGATAGAGTGAAGCTGCGAAAGTCGAAGCGCCAAGTGGCGAGGGACGACTGTAGAGGACAATATATAAAAGTGAAAACATATACCATGTTCATGGATTAGAAAACTCAGTATCATTAAAATGTCCATACTACCCAAAGCAATCTACATATTCAATGCAATCCCTATTAAAGTACCAATGGCATATCTCACAGATCTAGAGCAAATATTCCAAAAGTTTATATGTAACTATAAAAGACCCCAAATAGCCACAGTGACCTTGAAAAAGAAGAACAAAGTGGGAGGGAATCACAATACCAAATATCAAGTTATACTACAAAGCCATCATAATCAAAACAGTGTGGCACTGGCACAAGAACAGGCATATAGATCAATGAAACAGAACAGAGAACCCAGATATCAACCTAAGACAGTATGCACAATTAATATTTGACAAAGGAGGTAAGAGCATACAATGAAGAAAAGACAGTCTCTTCAATAAATGGTGTTGGAAAAATCAAACATGTACATGCCAAAAAAGGAAACTAGACCACCAACTTACACCATACACAAGACTAAACTCAAAATGGATGAGAGACTTAAATGTAACCAGTGAAACCATAAAAATCCTAGAAGAAAATGTAGGCAGAAAAATCTCAGATATTATACGTAGTGGAATTTTCACTGATACACTGCCTAGGGCAAGAGAAACAAAAATTTTAATAAATGGGACTATCTCAAACTAAAATGCTTCTGAATGGCTAAAGAAACCAGTATCAAAATGAAAAGAGAACCCACTCTTTCAGAGAATATATTTGCCAATGATACATTGGATAAGGGGTTAATATCCAAAATACACAGGGAGTACTCATACAACTCAACAAAAGGAAGACAAACAATCCAATTAAAAAATGGGCAGAGGACCTAAATAGATACTTCTCTAAACAGGACATACAAATGGCCAGGAGGCATATGAAAAAATGCTCAATATCTCCAATCATCAGAGAGATGGAAATTAAAATGACCATGAGATATCACCACATACCTGCCAGCATGGTGGCCGTCAACAAATTGCTAATGAGGATATGGAGAAAAGGGTACTCAGCACACAGTTTGTGGGAATGCAGACTGATGTAGCCACTATGGAAAACAATATGGTGTTTCTTCAAAAAAATTAAAAATGGAGCTGCCATTTAACCCAGTGATCGTACTTCTTGGAATATATCCTATGAAGCCTGAAATACCAATCAAGAAGAATATATGCACCCCTAAGTTCACAGCAGTGCTATTTACAATAGCTAAGATCTGGAAACAGCCCAAGTGTCCATCAGTAGATGAGTACATAAAAAAGCTGTGGTACATTTACACAATGGAATACTATGCAGCTGTAAGAAAGAGAGATCTCTTACCCTTTAAGATGACATGACGGGACCTGACGAATATTATGCTAAGTAAAATAAGCCAGTCAGAGAAAGACAAGTACCACATGATCTCACTTATTTGTGGAACATAATGAACAACATAAGCTGTCAACCAAAAGAGATCCAGAGTCATGGCAGTAGGGAACAGACTGACAAACCTCAAAGGGATGTGGGTGGGAAGGGTGCAAAGCGATAAACCAAAGAACTTATATGCATATATGCACAACTAATCGACACAAACATTAGGTTGGAGAAAACAGGCGGGGTGGGAGCAGGAAGGAAGGGGTCAGTGGGGAAAAAAGTGGGACATCTGTAATACTTTCAACAATAAAAATCAGAAGAAAACTAATCACTAAGTATATTTCCTGCCTATTACAAGTACAGAAAATGCTTAACTATTGGAGACATCTTAAAGATTGAATTTGGATACATAGTAGGGAGACACAGAGAAGGAAAGAAGGAAGAAGAAAGAATCCAGTAAAAGTACTATAATACAAGGTATCCCATAGCTTATAGAAATTCTTAATTCTGGAACCAGAGGGTTTCCAAGAGGAGCAAAGTAAAGGACTTAAGACTAAAACCTAACAAGCCGTGTTAATAATGGTCAAATCATTGAAGAAGCAGTTCTGCCCAACAGAACTTTCAACAGTAATGATTAACACTGAATACATGTGCACTGTCTTATGTGAACATCCAGGACTGTACCCTCTAATCCTTTCTATTTTTGTTAATCCTCACCCAAGGATATTTTTCCATTGATGTTTTTGTTTTGTTTTGTTTTTGTTTTTTTTAGAGAGAGTGGAAGGGAGAGAAAAAGAGAGAGAGAAAGAGAAACTTCGATGTGAGACACATCGATTGGTTGCCTCCTACACAAGCCGTGGATTGAACCTGCAATCCAGACACTCATTTTTGACCAAGAATAGAATCTGTGACCCTTCAGTACATGAGCTGACATTCTAAATGTTTAGCCAAACTGGCCTGGGCCCCTCTAATCCTTTCAAGTAATTCTCTCTCCTGTCTGGGGTAGTTTCTTCACATGCTTGTGTTGGTCTGTATCTTGATAAATATTAAATTTGTCCCTTCTACAATCACCAGAGTTTGCTCTATGTGGCCCTCTATCTTTGGTCCTCTGTTCTGTAGCTTTAGCTGCCTTGATCTCCTTGGTCTCACCTCCATCACCTCAACTCAGAGTCTGCCTGGCTCTGGGTGGGTTTCTCCTCCTTGTGCTATGTCTGGAAATTATTCTAAGTTAGTAAATTCGGTTAATTTGGGGCTATTTTGTCCGGTTTTTGGTTGTTTCAGACAGGTCCTTGTTACTCATTTTGACCAGAATTGGAATTCTAGGAATCAAATTTTAAATATAATTCTATTTAATTTAAATGGTCCCATGTGGCCAGTAGCTACTGTATTGAACAGCATCAGAGTAGAAGTTCACTCCCAAAATCTAGCAGATTAAAAATTACTTAAATTGAGAACAAGTTAACTGTGATTCCTCTTTTTGTACAATTATACTGGCTAAAAAATGATGTATATTATATGCTATGGCATTTTTAACTGAAGTTAACATCAATACTATTAATTCAACAAAAGCTACAGAGTGCAGATCATTTCCCAGATGAAAGGCAATCAATTAAATGCTATTAGAGATACACAGACAAGGAAGGCAGTTTCTGCTCTTTGGGGGCTCACAGTTCAGTGAGATAGGCTAAACAGATAAATTACCATTTACCGAGACAAAGTGACCACGAAGACAAGAAACAAGTGTAGCAGATGCACAAAGAACAGAGCAACTAATAATAAATGACGTGGAGGTAGTGCTGGGAAGTCTTTATCAAAGACGAGGCATCTGAATGATATCATTAAGAATAAAGAGAAATTAATTTAATAAATATTCACTTGGCAACTACTTTATGCCAGGCTTATGCTAGAAACTAAGGACAGAAAAAGGAGTAGAATATAACATCTACCTTCAAGGAGCTCATGAACTAATAGGAAAGAGTACAGTGTGCAGTGACAATATCTAGAGAGGACAATAAACTAAAACAGTGGTAATAAGAATAAAGGAGTGAGAATAAATATCCTGGAGATGTCAACTGTTTCCTCTAATTACTTCCTTTCCATCCACACTTCCTTTCCGTAGTCTGCTACACTAATTCCCAGCCAGTTAATTGGAGCACAAGTGGACATAATTCCCAAAGGAGCCAAGTCACGTGATGGCCTAAACCAACCAAATTCTTTCTTGTAATAGAATAAAAGCTAAGAGATACAAAAACAGTTAGGCGTTGTTAAGCCAAAACTCAGAGGTCATGGGAGAGCTGGTAGTAGGGTGGTCATTTTACTTTTTCTTTTTTTCATTTGTATGCCACTGCAGAGAAAGTCAGTCTGCATTAATTTTTCTTACTGTAGTGTCTCCAGTACCTAACATACACACTGCTTGGCCATAACTCTTCTCCACATTAAAATCATTTTGCCCAGTGGCCATGATAACACAGGGGGACTTGAATCTAGAAGGATACCATAAGAGGGAAAAGGGTGATTGCACTATGTGGTATGCAAATAGTGATTCCCCTGTTGAGGGCACAGACTTTTCCATCAAATAGGTTTGCATAGTTGTGAATTCTTTGATTTGTAAAATTCCGTGAAGATAGACATAAGGTGAAGTTGCTTTTGTTGAAAACTTACGATAAGAGCCATCTGGGCTAATTTCATCACTTATAACCAGGCAGGTAATCTGAGAATATGGTAAAGGGTTGTTTCGATTATAGGGACTAACAATCATTCCAATGAACTTTGCACCACCTCTGGAGAAGTAACTCTACAATGAAAAGGAAAGTAAAATTAGTTTGAACAACATAAATTTAAAAGTCAGTATTTAGCTATACCAACATTTTCAATATCTAATGGAAGAAAAGGGAACAAAAAAATTGTGTTAAAACTTCACATCTAAATAGCAACTAAACAAAACGTCTTACATATTCATTCCACACTCTAAATTTTTCAGGCCAAAATGTGCTCAACCCAACCTTAAAAAACAATCTATATTTGCCATGAATATATTTACTAATTATATTCACAACCCATCAGCTATAATCTTTCTCAATATGGTAATAATTTACAAACAGCTGTCTACAGCAAAAACATTCACATATCAAACATAAAACTGCAGAATAAAATAAAACTTTGTATTTCTCAGAGATGCAAAATATATATTATGTTTCTGATTATTTCAATTATTCCCAGTCCCTGTCCTAATTGTTCCCATCAACTTTTAAAGGCTCTGGGAGTAATTATCACTGTTAACTTTGATGGCTTGTCTGTATTAAACAAAATAGCTGATTTTCCAAATTTTTAAATAAACATGCATTACTCTTGTAATCAGAAAAAAATGCAAGTTATTTCAAAACTCCAGATGTAAAGAGAGTATCAGAAATGCAATACTTTGCTATAAATGTTAAAAGTACATTTATGTAATAGAAAGCAACGAGGAAGAGAGAATGTACAATCATTTACAGAATACATATACATAAGACCCATAAACACACCTGGTATTTGGCCTGAGTATCAATATCTCGTAGGGAAGGATTAGGATCAAAGGCAGGATGAGAATGGTACCATCCAATAACACTGTAGCCTCTTACAGCCAAGGCTTCTGAGGCCTGTGTTTGTGAGACAGGGTCCATCTCACATTGCAGTCCTGTACTCAGACTGTTACATGGTTCTGCTGCACAGACCTAAAAAGGATTAATCTTTGTATGATTACACTGAAATTGTGTTAATTCTATTAATGTTTTAGTTCTTTCATACATATAGAAACTTTTTAAAGCCAAGCCTTTTATTTGATTATAATCACTGGCAGCCTTTAACTTGCAAATAAATTATACTCCAAAAGTGTGACTATATGCTAGGAACTCAGAATCCACTTTTCTACTTAAACAAGGTCATTATAATTGTTAATTTTCCAGGTCAGCCCATGTAATACCTGTACAAACATACTCTTTCAGTGACCCCTATTATTTATGATAATAATTTCAACAGAATGATGCATACCAAGTTTCAACTATAAGGTTAGCACATGCTTCCTGGCCTCATAGGAGCTGTAGCGTTTTACTGGTGAAGGCCATGAGGAACCAGGGCCTGGCAGCGTTCCCTCTTTCTCAGTGGTAAAAGGAAACAGGTGGCTCCATAGATGGAATGTTAAGTCACTTTTGGGAATCTATAACTTTCTACATTTTCATGTTCTCATTCATATCATAGGTGAAGTCTGTATTTTAATTATACCCACTGAAATCTATAAAAATATTTGTTATGGCAGCAGGACAAAATACTTCTAAATCTTTAAAACTGAGAACTTACTTCAACTATCTTATCAACTTCTGAGTATCTTCCTCCTAACAGACCGATCACTTCTGCCATAGACACATGAGCATGCTGAAAGAAAGCAAAGAGAGACTTACCCTAAACAAACCACCTGACAAAAACATCAGAATGAAACTCACTTATCAAGTACAGTAATTATGCTTTGCTAATATAAAGTAGCATGCTAGAGGAATTAGGTGCTAGGCTCAGAGCACAGAGACTTAAGATTTCAGACCTATTTTCATTGCTGACTATGAAGTTTTGAACCAAATGTTCAAACATTCCATAATGTCACTTTTTCACTTACAAAATAAAGATATCATTTGCTCTCCCTTTTCAGGAAAGATATAATGAGGTAAAAAAAAAAAAATTCACTCTAGAACCTCCTATAGAAAAAGACTATAAACAAATATACAACTATGGAGTCTCAGTAGTTCAGTGCAAATAAGGGAACTCCAAATTATGAGTAGTGTTTTGTTACAGTTATCTAGAAGGCAGCAGACAAAGGATACTAAGGAAATTAAAATACAGTTAATAATGGTAAACAGTCTGCAAAAACTCACATTAATTTATTTTCTCTAAAATATGGAAACATGCAATTGTTTGGTTTTTCTCCAAAAGAAAAGAGTTATTTTTAGATTCCTTGTAAAAGAGGAGAGTTAAGATCCAAAATACAGGTCTTCCATACTCTCTCTCATGCCTGCAATAAAAATACACAAGAATACAAATCAGAATAACTAAATAAACACAATAGATTATCCTTACCAAATCCATTATTAAAAGTGCTTCTGAAGCCACTTTCACCTGAAATGGCTCCTGAAATATAAAAAAACAAACAAAAACAAAGAAAATGGGGGAGCATAAAAATAGAGATTTTGTTTTCCTAACTGGAATGTCCACCCTCTTCTTTACCTATCACTTATCATACCGAGATCTCACCACCAATCAAAGCTCAATGAGAACAAAACTTCAAAAAAAATTTACCATTTAAGACTCTAGCACAGAGACATTTCCTCTCATTTTCCATCTGTAGTACTCATCTGAGCCTTAATATACCCTGCCTTGCCCACTATTTCATAAATACATATATATGATGCATAAGTAGTACCTGCTTTCCTTCACTGAAAAAATTACAAGGTATCAGTTGGAAGGGATCAAATGAGCTGAAAAAGAAAAAAAAAATTATTTCTAATATATCTCAACAAGACTAGGAAAATAACATTTATTTACAAATTTGAAAATGTGTATCAAATATCAAAACCTACTGGGTGAGAGAGAAAAATACGAAACGAGGAGAATCTCTTAAAACATTCCCAACCTTTCTGAAAGTAGCACTGCTCTTTTGGACTTTATTTTTAAAAGAGGGGTGGGGAATGACAGGACTTTTGGGAGAAAGTAATTCCATTGTCTTAATTTGTTTTAATACCCAAAGAGAACATTAAAAATGGCGAGACATGTGTCCTACACTGAAAGCAGATTTCAGATGTAACCAATTCCTTGACAAGAGACCTGAAAGAAATGTCAACAAAGGTGGAAGTTTCTCAAAAACATTTCTGTTGTTATAATAATACAGTCAGCAAAGAGTAGGGACTCAATAAATATTTGTTGAATGAATAAATGACAAACAGTTCTGCTAAAGAAATATACACAGAAAAGTTCTATAATAAACTACTATTTTAAAATAAAAAGTTAAAATAAAAAGATGGGAAGAGGGGCACGTAAGCAAGTCCAGATACAAAGGTATGTGTAAATAAATCTAAGAGAAATGTTAGAAAGGCTTTGACCAATAAAGAATTAAGCTCTGAGAGATATACTAAGAATAAAAAGGTTTCTAGGCTATGTTCAGAGAAACAGACAAACAAATAAAAAGTGTGTTCATGTTAATACAATTGAAGAGCAGAAGAGATTCTTATTCTCCTGATACTGTTAGCTCCAGGAGAACACACACACACCTTATTTGCTGAATATTGTATTCCAAGGGCCTACAACAGTGCCTGACATATCATTGGCATTTAAAAAAGCATTAGTTGAATAAAGAGAAAAGATTTTCAAATTAGAAAGTGCTTTATCAACACAAATAAAAATAAACTAAAGGCCAACATAGATGAAAAAATAGCAAGAGTGCACATACATCCCAGAGCACTGAAGAGCCATGACGTGAAACCACTGTCCATGGTTTTTAAAAAATTTTTTTATCCTCACTCGAGAACATTCTTGCATTCATCTTCAGATAGAGCGAGAGGGAGAGAGAGAGAGAGAGAGAAATATCAATGTGAGAGAGACACATTGAGTGGCTGCCACCCACACGACCCCATCCAGGGCCGGGGACAAACTGCAACTGAGGTTCATGCCCTTAGTGGAACTAAACCCGGGTCTCTCTGGACCACAGGCCAAAGGTCTAACCGCTCAGCCAAACCAGCCAGAGCCACTGTCCATGTTTTCTGAGGAGCAGCAGAGAATGGGAAAATTATTATAAGTCTCAGAATAGTTATTGGGCTTGTTTCAAAACACAAAATAAGCAGATTTTAGAAACAGAGGAATCAGATGTTGAATATTAGAAAAATTCTAAAAATGATTTTTAAATAGCTGACTAGTGAGCCTTTAGTAAGTGAAAAGGTGACTAACTACTACTAATGTGTTCATGAAAATATAAGTTGTGATAAGTAGACCTAAATTTGATTTTTGATAGGATCTGCTAAACTAGTAGATTCATAAAGAATCAAATATATTTTATCTAAATATAAGCACATCTGCTATCATTACCTTTCTGTGTAAGATGAAGAAATGTGGGTTAACTGTGGTAGTGCACAGCTGACTGAACAATAATGTCTGACGTTTATGTTTATCCCAGGGAAACATTTTAATCAGTGATCAATAGTAGAAAAAGCAAGCTTACTGACATGTTGATGATTCAAAGCTATGGAGGCTATTATAAGAAAAGTGGATCTGGATTCAAAAAGATCCTAACAAACTAGAACAATGACTTAAAAATCACAATAAATATTAAGTCTCAAGTTTAGACTGAGAAAATCAAATGCCTGGATACTAGATGAGGAGTCCTAGCTTATGATGACTATAAGTTTACATAGTTTATCTCATTTAATTTATTCCCACAGCTATAACTTTTAATTTTTATTTTAAGGAGGTGATATATCCTGTAGTGTAATGGTTCGGAGTATGGATGCTTAAGCCTTAATGCCTGTTTTAAATCATAGCCCTATCAGCAACAAGTATGAGCAAGTTACTTAACTCTCCATGCCTGTCAGTTTCCTCAGCTATCAAATGGGAATGATATTAACTACTGCATAGAGTTGGTATGAGGATTAAATGAGTCAATGATGTGATGTGTGTAAAACACAGCTAACAGTGTTAGCTATTATAGTTATTTTATAAATGAGGACCTAAGGCTTATAAAGGGTTTAAGTAATTTACCCAGGGACATAACAACTGGAAAGTATCAGGACTCTTTCCTTTGAAAATGACCTAGTGGCATTCTTGGGTGTCTTGTTTTAAAAGGGACACTGACAAAACTATAGTCCATTCAATGGGACATCTGTACAAAGTGAGGGGTCTAGAAAATCAATGCATGGAACTTACTTGGTGACTCTTAATGTTACAAGTTACAAATTTTAGATTATAAAAGAACAAAAAATACTTTGCTAACATTCAGCACGACCCAAAGAGAGAACAAGTCATTCCATGAGGTTGCCTGTTCAAATGTCTGAGTTAAATGGACATTTGTCATAAGGAAGGCCCCTTTACAACATAGGCTAGATCCTATATTCACAGAGCCTGAACAAATTTAAAACTTGTGCTCAAGGTCTCCCAAATTGATAATCAGTGATATATAAAATTTCAAAAATTTTACCTGTATTTTTTTACTTAATGTGAACAATATAATGCAGCTTTTTCAAATATTTTTTCATACATTTTCTAACCATTTGTGAATAAAGAACAACATTTATATAATGTTTTAAATGTACCTTTTTGTCGGTCTTTGCACTTTTGAAGATTTAATAGGTTTGCATTTTTCCTCTTCTCTTCTTCTTGCCAACTCCTCAGCAGAGAGATGCTAAGATATAAAACACTAGCTGATCAAAGTCCATCAACCACTGATAGGTAGAATTAATAAAAAATATTCCTTTAAAACCACATTTAAAGGCATGTGAGAACAAGACAAAGTGGATAGATGTGTTTCCTTCTTGCTACTAAGAAATAGACATGCTGGATAATGTGTTTCAAAAAAAAAGTTCTAAAATATACTGCTATATGAAACTTAAAATTTACTCCTTAGTCTTGACGTACTCATTTCAATTAACGGTACCTTGGTTCAAAAACCTCAGGATCACCTGCATCTTTCCTCTTTCTTATTTCCCACTTCTACTGTCAGCAAGTCCTAATGTACTGAATTTTCTTTCACATTTGAGAGATATCCAGCAGTCATGAGAAAGAGCAGATTCTGGAGGTAAAATGCCTGGCCCTGCTACTTACTAGCTGGGTGACCCCAGGAAAGTTTACTAAAGTTTTCTTTGTTTTAGTTTCCTCATATTTAAATTGGGAACAAGGACAGTAATAATGACAATGCCACAATGTTACTGTGAAGATTAAATGAGTTAAAGATTGTAAAATACTGACCATAGTATCTGATACAGATAAGTCCTATGTAAATATAAATGCTTCATTCCATTTCTACCACCAATCTTACACTCTAGCCCCAATGAACTATGCACTTTTTCCCAGAACATTTCTAGTATTTTTCCTTTGTTTATGCTGATCCCTCAGCCTGGAATGCCCTCATCTACATTTCTACATTTTGAGATTCTCCAGCTCATACTTCATGCCATAGATGAAACATCACATCCTCCGAGAAACCTTCTCCCATCATATCCTTTGGGAGGTCTTTGTAATGTTTTGGGATCAATGTTATGGACCTTATCACAGGTTATATCTTTCCTACTAGAAATCTAAGCTGCTTCTAGGTAGGAACCATATATTACTACACTTGATCTTAGTCAAAAGGCCACGAAGCAATGGAACCACGTACTACTAACTGTTGTGCCTAGAATAGTGTTTAGGTGTGAGGTTAGGGAGGGTGGATAAAAAGAAAGAAGAGAACTAACATTTATCTTGCAAGGCTTGCAAGGCTTACTGAGTACCTACTACTAAGACCTTCACAGATTTTATTTCACTGAATTCTCACAACAATCCTTTGAGGGTGGTATTATCCACTTTCACATTTTCCATTTGTGTAGAGCACAAGCAGAGTGGACTTTTTGGACACCTTTGACAATCCAATATGAAGTCAATGTCAGCCATGATAATTATGTCAAGTGCTATGTCAATGCCCTTAGGAGGGTCCCAGAATGTCCAAACCACAAGTCTGGACACTTGGACAAGGACTCCATCTAGACACCAATATGAGTGGCACCTTCACCCCTGGTGGGTAAGAACTCCAGAGTTCTGACCACCCAACATTCCAGCTTGACTATACCACAGGTCACACTGGGAGCCCTGCCAGACTTCCGCTTCACCAGATGCATGCCACCAGTGACTACAACTTTGCGATGGGCGCTCACTCTGCTCGCTTCTGTAGCATAAACTCCCCTCTCTGTGTGTAATCTATGTGTCTCTATTGGCTTATTGGGAGGTCTCCCCTCATACACTTGGCCTTGTGGGAAGACTTAAATGTGTGTGAGTGGCTCCTTTCCGGGTGCCCCTTGGTCATGATACCATTCTACTGCACTGGCTGTTCATAAACAAATTATACACATAGAATGCGTGCACGTATGTATGTACAAACAATTCACTGCCTATTTTCTTTTTAGGACCATAGTTTTTAACTAGTAGAAATAATACTTCAATATTTGTATTATGTCTAACGCCTGGGACAATATTTTAATTGGTGTATCAGAATGTCATTCAACAGTGTTTACTGAAATGAATTGGGCATACCAACTTCCTGGCAACCTAGAAGATACTTTTCTTTTTTTTTTTATCCTCACCTGAGGACATTTTTGCATTTATCTTCAGATAGAACAGGAGGAAGAAAGGAAGAAAGAGAGAGAAACATTGATGTGAGAGAGATACATCGACTGGTTGCCACCCACAAGACCCCAACTGGGGCTGGGGACGAACTGCAACCGAGGTACATGCCTTGAGCGGGAACTGAACCCGGGACTCTCTGGTCCGTGGGTCGATGCTCTAACCGCTGAGCCCAATAGCTATAGAAGATATTCTTGAGCTAGAGAACAGAATGTAGAAACAGATAAAGTTCTGAAAATGAATCAAACTCCTACTAGTTAATTGCACCACCAATGTCTTCTACTTTACTGTTTATTAGTGACTTCTAGACAAAAAAAATTAACATGAAAATGAGACATGTATACGTATATTTGAAAAGTGTAATATTTGTGACATTAAGATACACAAATATGTATTGACAAAACAACTTTCACTAATGAGCCATGTGAAAAGGTCAAGTTACCTCAAACGTTTGTCCTTCTAAGTCTTTTGCATCACACCAATTTCCCCATGGGTCTCGGACCCTACGTCTCCTTGTGCGCTGTGATGAGATTAAAATAAAGCAAGAGAGGTGACAAGATTAACTTGGAGAAATCACAGCATATTAAAACACAAAATCAAAATGTTAATTTTCTAAAAAACATTTTATCCACTAAAATATTGTAATCCCTGATCAGCAATGCCTGACAATTTTATTTTATTAATTTATGTTCAATAGTTAGCACTCTGCTCAGAAATAAATCAGTGATTATTTTTTGTATTCTACTTGGAGTTATTCTTTAATTTTCACTTCCTTTCACCATTTGGGAGCTAAAACACTCAGACAAAAAATATTTTTAAGACCAAAAGGAACCACCAAAAAAATGACTTCCTGTTCAATCACTTGTGGTAGAAAACTTGCAAGAACACACAGCAAGAGGTAAAATATTGAAAACTAGAAGCAAAATGATTATATCTCAGTCTTAGAAAGGAAAAAATTGTTTAATTAATACAAGTAGTAAAAATTACAAAGTTGGATAACTAGATTACTAATATCCAGTTTTGCAAACTTCAATATAAAGCCTTTAAATGGACTAGTGCCAGAAGCCATTGTCTGACTAGCACTATCTCCTTTCTTAAAGTAAATCTAGGTAGAATTGGTTTACAGCCCGAATATTCTATCATCTATACTTTTTATCTCACCTATTACCAATTTAACCTATTTTATTGGTTCACAGCATGACTCTGCCTTTCAGGAGACTTGTTGGATCACTTATTTTTAAAATAAGAGTCATGAATTTTAAACTGTTGTAAAACTCACTAACCTCAAGAATTAAAAAAAATAAAGGCTAAAATATTTTGGATAGCTATTCCAAAAAGTTGAATCTTATGGTAAGAATTTTAAACAAACAAAAATAACTGAAAGAGATAAAAGCTTAACTGTATAGTTTTAAAAAAATATGTTAGATTTAGAAATCAAAACCAAGCAGTCGAAGGCCATTTTTGCAAAACATTACACTTCTTTGTACAGGTTACCAGTGAATTTTGAGGAATTTGTTTGGTTTGTTTTTGCCTTATAAACCTACATGAAATTGAATGGAAACCAGAAAAGTGAATACCAAGGTAAAATACAAGAGTAAAGATGTTCTTCAATTACACGGCCACACGTGAAACAGTTGAAGAGAAGCAGACATACCTTACTTATTTACCAGGATAAGGAGTAATTTGGAGAGATCATTTAATGATTTAGGCAACTGCTTACCATAGACTGCAGACGCTGGGCAAGTTGGTATGCTTCCACTGCATCTTTTCGGTCTCTGATCCGTACTTTATCAACTGGTTGTGGCCTATTATATACAGCCTGTTCTATTGGAATTCAAGAAAAATGAAACAATCTATTTTTTTTATGAATTTATTTGTTAAATAGGAAGACACATCTATCTACACTGACTATACACTGTAAGCCAATTTAAGTTTCTTTATATCAGAGCTTCTGTGTTTCTATACTATTCCACAATCACACATTTCATGCGCCACTTAGTTCTCACTAAAAGTAATGCTACTGTTTATTATAAGGAAATCTCAATAAAATGTGACACTTAGGAAATGAGTAATTTAATTTTTTATTAAGTCCACTTTGCTAACTTTGGAAGTCTAATACAGAAAACATGATTTCATATTTCTTTTAGTGGCTATGACATCTTAGTTTTCCTGAAAAGCCAGTCCCAATATACAGTGCTTTGGGCAAACACACTAAAACAAAGACCTCAGGGGAGACTATAAACTCTATCTACCTCAATATAAAATAAAATCCCTGATGGGAAGTTTTCTGGTTTGTTGTCTCTTCATAGACACAGATTACAGAATGGTCTAAAATCATGGGTTGCAAGATTTCAATTACCTTATCACTTTGCAACTATGGCATTATCTTTCTTCAAAAGTTTGTGTCATGTTAACAAAAGGGTAGAATACATTTAAAAATATAGATATTCAGCAACTTTTATATTTGAGAAAAACTAGGGTGAAAAAACTTTCTTCCATGAAAAATATTTTGGCACTCTCATTACATTAAAGCATAGAGGCTCATAAAGTATTTCCTTTATTTAAACAATGCTAGACAGTATTTCTTGCATGAATACAATATCTGCAAATTAAATGGGCTATTCCTAGATTTTTCATAAAATAATTTTACTTTTACTTGACAAAGAACTACATTCTTAAATTATTTCTACTACTTATACTGCATGTATTTTTAAAAATTACACCACCAATTTTCACTGTAGGTCAAAGGGAAATATAGTTTAATCAACAGAAATCTGTTTTACAGTAAAATCTCAATACATTTATTCAAAAATGTTATAGAATCTCTCTCTCTACTATATATATAACTAAATCTATCTGAATTCTAACCATCAAAGAAATTAATGGGTGCCGTAAGAATAAAAATGTCAAGTAAAAGATGTTGTTGGGTTTTTATTTTTACCACATCCAAAATTGATTGCTCCTATCAATTCGAGGTATGTATGAATCCGTCCAATACAATTAACATCCCCACAGTTCTTCAGGCCAGGACGTACTGAGGTCTTATTTAAGTATTTCGGTTTGCATATTTCCCTAATTAAGAGATGGAAGTACAATTATTGTGGATAAATAAAAACATGAAAACATATTTCTGGGGAAAACTTTTAATATTTAAAATATCTTAAAAATTTACCCCCTCTCAATATATAAATGTGTAGTAAATAGTATTACCAATACATAATAGCCAAGTGTACTTTTTTCTGGAAATACAGTATCTTTAAATGATACAATAACTTATAAGTATAGTGTGATTTTTTTACAAGTATTATTTCTCCAATATTAAATTCAACAGATTCCAGTTATACCAGGACTTTTAAGTCAGAAGCTTATCTATCTACCAATTCAAATTCAAGCCTGAATCTTTGACTAAAAAGGGCACTTTGATAATACATAAAAAATATGTAGTATTAGACTTTTTGAATTTTTAATATATCACTAGGCTCATCTACTTTTACTTTGTTGGGCTGCATCTTTTCATTATAAACTATCTTATAAATACTTAAACGTTTTATATTCATTTTTAATCATTATGCCAATAAATATTAAGTGCTTACTCTCAGTGGAAAACAGAAATAGATATTATAGGGGATCCCAAATGAATCAAGAAACACCCAAAGATTATGAAAGAAATGAGAGGTTTATATAATAAAACACATATTTACTGAATATGTTTAATGTACCATGTTAGATGGTACAATATAAATGTAAGAGTAACAGAAAACTTATAGTAGAAAACCTTTACTTAGTGCTAATGCCAGATGCTGTACCAAGAGTTACACATCCTTAATCCTCACCAACAACTCTACAAGATAGATTTAATTATTCTCAGTTTAGAGATGAGAAACAAAAAGGTCAGAGAAATTAAAGCGCTTACTTAAGCAAGTGACAATCAGGATGCAAAGAGACATTACAAGCCAAGTATTCAGATAAATCATGTAACATAGGCATTTCTTATTCAATCTTTACTTTAACCTACAAATGTTTATTTTATATACTCTGAATCAGGCATTGTTCTAGGCATTAAGGATAGAGAGATGAATAAATATAAAGTTCCTGGCCTAACATTCTAATGGGGGAGATAGTCAATAAATTAATGAATTATATATATTGTATTGTCAGGTGGCATTAAGTGCTAGGAAGAAAAAAGCATACAGTGAGACAAATAGACACAGACTATTTTAGATAGGGTACTCAGGGAAGGCCTCTCTAAGCAAAAAACCAAATGTGAAATCATAAATTCTATAGAGCTTCAGGGAAGGTAAAAAGTAATTCGTGATGCAGGGGTGGGGGAGGGGCAGTTCAAAGGTTCCACTGAAAAGTTGACATTTCAAATGTTTTGAAAGAAAAGAAAACAAACTGCACAAATGAAGGGAAGAAAGCAGAAATGAGCATGGTATAACTGGCTACCAAAATACTGTAGGAATCTAAAAACCTGAATTGATGTCATTAACAATTATCCAAATCACAAGGTTTTAAGCAGAACTTAGTAATCTAGTATAGTGCTGAACAAATGATAAAGCCTCTCAAAATATCTCTGTTCATGATATGATGACTAATTCATTCAATCTTTTCTCCCTAACAAATAAAGAGGCTTCTGTATTCCAAGCATTGTACTAAGCATTAGGGATTTAACAATGAACAAACAGACAAAAAAAGTTTGTCCTTGTGTGGAGCCTGCATTACCACTGGGAGGTGGGAGGGAGAAAATACATAAATAAAAATATAGTATTTTCAGTGGTAATAAGTTCTATGAAGATAAATTATAAACAGGGTAAAAGAATGAAAGGAGATATGTGAGCTATTTTAGATAGGGTGGTCAGAGAAGGCCTCTAATTTCCCTTGAGCAGACCTGAATAAGATGAGGAAGCAGATCCACCAAGATCTGGAGGGAAAAGCATCTAAGGGAGAATGAAAGTCTAGGTCAAGGGCCTGAGTTGGAAGTGTGAAAATAATGAGTTAAGACTATAGACCCTGGAAATCACTTTCACCTAAAGTGACCTGCAACAAGTTCCTTTTACTCTCAGAAACTCCTTGCTCTTGTCTGTAAAGTGAGGACAGGTTGTCAAGAGAATTAGAAATGATTCAAATACAATGCATGCCATTTAGTAGGCATTCAATAATAGTATTGATTACTAAATTTATTAAATTCCCCTAAATAGGGAGTCAATTGCATATGCTTTTATAAAAAGGATCTTTCAGCTACAAACAAATCTAGCAAGCCTCTTTTTATATTTAAAACATTAACTTTTCCTTCTATTTTTTTATCACCAGATCCAGTCTTTAACCACTCTCTCTCTCTTCTATTTCTGAAGAGAATATCTGCATTCCTGTTCAAAACATTTCTTTGCTTTCTCGTCTATTAAAACAGTAACATTTAACTAGTTTATAAACCAAAGCAAATGACATTAGAAAACTACTGCTATATAATTTATACTACCTATATAAATTATTCTGCCTCACAGAATCCAAAATTCAAGTAACAAGTGAAATTTGATTACAGTAACAGTAAATACTCACTGATGATTCATATAGACATTTTTTAGTTATTTTGAAGTCATTTAATGTTGGTCATTCATCCTCTTTCAAAATCAAAATTAGACACCAACAGAGATACAATTTAACTTATTTTTGTTAACAGTGTGAATTAGGCAATATGAAATAATGGAAAGAGTGATTTATAGTTAAGACTTGCACTGACGTCTGTCAGTGACTGGTTGTATAATCAAAGGCAGGTCCCCTAAACCTCTTGACATCAGAATCGTTTTATCAAATAGAGAAAACACCACCTGCCTAATTTATAGGATTGTTGTGAGGAATCAGATGATACAGAAAAACTTTCTGTAAATTGTAAAGCACTATGTCAATGTCAATTGTTCTTTATACGTATTCTTTACTTTGATACTACCCTTACCCAGAACAAGAACAAAAAGCTTTCCTTTAGAATATGGCTATCCTTAAAAGGCAAATTGCTTAATACTGCGTGGGCAAAATGAAGGTCACTGATTTAATAAAATCTTGTTTTCCTTTGGTAATCTTCCTCAATTATAGCAGAAGCCCTCTGTAAAGATGGCCCTACACAATCCTGAAGCAATAACAATAATTACGAATGTTTAATAATGCCTTAAACTATTAGGAAATATTCAAATTACTTTCAGAGCACTTAGGTTAATAAGGTGGGAAGTTTCTTGGTTTGTTCCCCATACCTGACTAAATAATTTAAGTAAAAAGTACTAATAATGTAGAGGGTAAACGTCATATATCAAAAATTCCTGTTTCCTGATGAAGCTGAATGAAGGAATGAACAGATTATGCCACAGGTTCAAAGCAGAAAGCATTTAAGGCAGCTATTTAAGAGAGTGGTTTCTGCAATCTAGCCACATTTAATGACACTATCCTTCTGTCATGAATGTTTTCTTTCTTTGTATTTCAAAGTACAGGACAAACTAGGAGAGATGTTATCCCCCTTTTCCAGAACAACAGTGCTTTCTGTGTCTTCCTAACATTGTCCTTGGAAAGCGCTTCTTAAGGCAATCGTCTATCCCTTTTCCCCCAGACCCAAACACTCTTAATGAACAGACAGATGGATTATGATAGCTACAGATGACAATGCTTACCAAAGCTTTCCAAAAACGTTTCCCTACGAGAAATGTTAAGTCTTTCCTATTGAAATATATTATGTTAAAGCTCTCTGGATCATTAGCATTGTAAAATACTAAATTCTGCATAAGTCTAATTAAAGTATTCTAGAGTAGCATAGGTTTTAAAACAGTATCTATAATATAATTATTCCTTACCACTGATCCAAAATGTAATTCCTAATTTTCAAATAGCGTTCTGGTGTTTTAGCTTGGCGCCCCTCAAAAAACTCAGGAATTGCTTGTTTTTCTTCTTCTTGAATAGTATTTCTATCTATTTCTACTTCTTGCTCTGGTGGCTTAAGCTCTTCTTCCTCATGGTGCTCCTCCTCCATTTGGCAGGAAGAATTAAAAAGCATTTCATTATCACTCAAATCTTTCTGAACTTCACAAGGCTCCGGAGACGGCAACAAGCTAGTATCATCTACTATTCCATTTCCATCATGCTTATCATGGTTTTTCATCAGTTTATTACATTTCAGATCATTTAACTCAACTGGTTTTTTGTCACTGGTGCTCTCTTTTTCAGTCCAAAATGTAATTCTTGAGCTTGAAAGTGTTTCCATCTCACCTTGCTTTAAATTCTGAAGATATTCCTTGGAAGACTTAGAAATGAGATCTTCCTGGCTCTCAGAGGTAATTAATTCTCCTTGGTAGATTTCATGACTTTTACTATTAGGAATGTCTAATAAGAGATCACTGTTAGGATTCTCCTGGGGTGCTTGAGAAGTCAACTCATCTGCCTCATCTGTGATGTCTACTTCTTCATCATCAGATAACTTTTCAATTTTTACAGCATTCAAGTTGGGATCAGCACGTCCCCTTAAACTTGATGGTGCCCATGCCTTTGTGCTTTCATCTTCACTTTTAATCTGAAGATCATTGCTGTTCTTCTGATTTGGTGTTTCCTTCTCTGGACCATCTACTTTTACCTTATTAAAAATTAAGATAAAACTTATTATGATATTATGATTTTAAAATTTAATCATTGGCACTAAAAGTAGAATAAAGACAATGTTATTAAACTGAGTACATCATTGGTATATTGTACCTTTATGGTGCTTTTCTTTAAAGTGTTTACTACATTTTAAATGAAAAATTAATATTTTGTTTTTCTATTTATATAAAATTAAGTAGAATAACATAATACGTATTTAATAGGAACAATCGCAACACTGAAGATATGCTTTGAGATTTTTGAAGATAAATATCTGTAGAGTACTTTATGGGTATAAAATACTTCCACTATAAAAACTTGGAACATTAAGACTTTAATGTTCAAATTAAAATGTTCTTACTAATTTTATATATTTAAAATACTATTATTAACTAGGATAGTTATAGCCTGCTTACCTTATTTTTAAAGTACTGTCTGGCATAGCTCTTCACTTGTAAAATAGTGCGACTTCCAATTAGCTTTGCAATTTTTGTCCACCTTCGGCCAAATTTAGCCTATATTATCAAAATGGAAAAGAAATTGCTTCTGTTGAACTTATTTGTTAATATTCTAAGCTACTGCCACATTTTTTTAAAAAAGCAAATTAAAACAATCCATCTTTATTTATTTTCTAAAGCACACAATGAAGTCTCATATATAGCTAAGACTCTTAAAATCAAGGCCCACATTCTTCTTTTGGAATCTGAAATTAATGATAATTGACCAAAATGGTTTAAAATTAGTTTTCTTTGCATAGCTATCTAAACAAAGATATATCACCTTTATGTATTCCTAACCGTATATATTCAGATTGCACAAAATGATGTTCCAAATGTTAAGATAACTTAAAAAAAGTATCTGAAAGGGAGGCAGGTTGCATTTTTCATGTATACAATCAAATGAATATGTTCTGACGCCAATTTAAAAATACCTTTTTTACCCAGATTCTATCTGTTACACTATCCATTATATGTCCCACAGAAGACACTATAACTCTACATAGATATCACAGTGAACTGACTTACAAGAGTGAATCACAAATGAAGCAAGCTGCAACCAACGCCTCCCTACACCCCTCTACTGTCGAAGGCTGTCCACTTGCTAACACTGAAGTTGTGGTGAGAAAAACTAAGAACTTGAGGGAGCTCTGGTGTGTTCTGAAGTACAGAAAGAAATAAATATAATTTTAAAGCTAAAGGGGTTTTTTAGGTATCAAGTCTATCATTTGATTACATATATATGCCTCCTTTATAATATCTCTAACACAAGATACTCTCTACTTCCCAAAGTAACTCGACAATTCTAATTTTTTAGAATTCTTAAAGCTTTGAAAAACAAACAAATATACCCAGCCACAACTCAGGGGAATTGATCTCAGGGCAGATATACAGGCCAGGCAGTCATGACTTATGGTAGCAAGTCATCTTTAAAGATCCAACCCAAGTAATAAACTTTAACTTATACACTTATTTCTGGTACTCATTAGAAAATCTGGTATGTGGATAATTTCTTAAAACTGAAAGTACTTCTGGGTAAATTATTAGTAAGTATAAATTAATTACTTATATTGCTCTTAACTAACACCTGGCAGAGATCAACTTATTGAAGTATTAGTTATCTTTATCGTAGGATAAAGTCCAATAGGTAACCTGGCAGCATAGAGCACTTTTAGAGACAGGAAATAGCCTCATAAGTGAGACCAGCAGGGATTGTAAGGGCTTGGGCACTAGGAAACTTAGGAAGAGAACATTAGCAAAGAAAACACTCATCAATTTGAAAATAGAAAAAAGGGAGAGCCCTATGACCAAGAAAGGGAAGAAAAAATCTTCCTTCATTTAGTACCACATAATTCCCTTCTCTCAAACCTGAGAAAATTCAGTCTATAAGCAAAGTATATCAACAGGTCAAAAAGGTCAAAATACACCCAATAATTCCATTTATTTTTGTGGGAAAACATTCTGAGTTTAAAATATCGACTTATGTACATAAATAGATACCTATGTTTGTATATAAATAAATACACATTTGCTTACACAGGGATAAGTATCTTTAGAAGGACACACAAGAAACAGATGAAAATGGTTGCCTCGGGCATAGAGAACTGAAGGCTGAGACAAGTTAGAATTAACACCCTATAACTTTAGGTACCGAATTTTAAACCATGCAGATATAGCTTCTATAACCACTACCAATGTCAACAATAACCTAAAAATTCACAACCCACTTGCATTGGCGTGTGTGTGTGTGTGTGTGTGTGTGTATACATGGCTGGTTAGTTAAAGTTAAATTATATAAATGATAAACATACAACAGACTGAAATACCAAAATATAAACATAACAGCACAGGAGGAACATCTCAGGAAGAGATAAAACCCTCAATGATAGTTTAGGTATCTATATAAAAACACTATAGAATATATAAATGTCATGGTAATGACTAAATATAAAAATACACGCACATTTTATTTCCCATCATCTGTAGAAACATTATCAATAATATTTCAATTAGTGTTCATGAATCCTACAAAATTATATAAATATTCTATATATAAATATATATAATTTCAAAATTAATTTAGTATAACATTAGGTAATATATACTTTAAAGGAAATAATATAACCTATTCCCAATAGTTAAAAAGATTTCTGAATATTTTATTTAAAGTTTCTTTATATTAAGAAGTATTTTCAGAATTAAAAATCGGTGTGCATATTTTTCCATTGTGTAACATGTAGACATTTATATAGGTCTCAGTGAAACATTCATGTAAAAAACACGTTTGTTTTCTATAGTAACATCCACTAAAATATTTAGATTATGCACAATGCCAAATAGCTGAATAAAAAAAAGAACTCGACCCAGACAATTCCACGTACACAAGTTTTTTTCCCAAGAGAAAAACATCAGATAACTAAATAATTTTGCATTTTAAACCAGGTAGTTTAAAGAGACAGCTAAATTTGTGGGTTTTTTAAAATATAAAAAAGGGTAAAAACTATCCAAAATATTTATCCAAATCTATTTTAATATTTTAGTAACTTAAATGAGTTAAATTCTCTTGTACTATACTATAAACATCATCACTGTAACTACAGAAAAACTATAAATATGATCACTGTAATTAAAAAGAAATTTCTGGTCTCTACAAATTAACCTTATAATTCTATCAATATTTGCTTCTAGAATTATTTTACTATAAATTAAAAATTGCTCTATTTACCAGCCCTTGTTCAAACAGCTCTTTTTCTTCTATCGTCCACTTTACTGAGAGACTGGCTGGTTTTGTAGGAGATTGTACCCTAAGGAGGGGAAAATTGCAAAAAAAAATTTCTGAAATGGAACATTCCATATTTATGCAGCTAAAGGTTATAGATAGCCATGAACTAAATTCAATACTCTGAGTCTAAGAATTAAAAAAAAAAAAAAGGAGAAGAAGAAGAAGGCTGCAGCTTCTACATGAGGGATAGATTTACCCTGTCTCATATACTTCTCTAGCTCAGGATGATAGGAGCCTCAAAAGACATAATCCTTGGGTCTGAGTGAAGAGAATACTAAAGACATCAAAGGAAGTGAGTGTAAAAACAAACAAATGGAATTCCTTATACTGGACACAAAACAGCAGATGTGAATACATTTCCAAATCCTGAAAGGCAGGTAAAAGTTTAAATTGACTCCAGAACTATTATCTCTTTGATTCTTCCAAGTAAATCCATGTAAATAACAAGCCAGAAGAGTAAATTAAAAAACTATGGCATCGCCCTGGACAGTTTGGCTCAGCGGTTAGAGCGTCGGCCTGCGGTCCAGAAAGACCCGGGTTCGGTTCCCGCTAAGGGCGCGTAACTTCGGTTGCAGTTTGTCCCCGGCCCTGGTTGGTCGTGCCGGTGGCAGCCACTTGATGTGTCCCTTTCACATCCATGTTTCCCTCTCTCTCTCTCTCTCTCTTCCTCTCTCTCCATCCCACTCTATCTGAACAAAAAAATGGAAAAATGTCCTCGGGTGAGCATAAAAAAAACAAAAACGAAAAAACAAAACAAAACTATGGAATCATGTTTATTGCTTTTGGAATTGTAGTATCTTAAGAAATTCAAAGAGTGATGAGGCTCACTAATTTAAATTCAAGCAAACTATTAACATTTTCATTAACTCACTTTTTTCTGTTTTTTTTTTTTTTTTTCCCAGCAAAATGCAAAAGCCAAAGTCTGTTCAGTGCTCAAACTCTTGGCAATTGCAAATCTGTAAGCCTTACCCTTTAAGGGACCATAAACATGCAAGTTTATAAATGCTAAATAAAACAGTTAATAGTTTCTTTAATTTTTGAAAATTACAAATTCAAATTAAACTTTTGTTTGAAGTGACTGAAAATTAACTGACAGGGCAATACAAATTAAGGTAATCCCTAACATATTAAATAGCAGATTTTAAAAGTTTCCCAACAAATCTCTAGGAAACACATCTTTTCCATAATCTGATGCAACCAAAAGAAAAATTCTGGAAAATAACATCATAAAATTACCTTGGGGTAATCAAGTATGTGTATAAGAAATTCTGATTTTATATTTTTGTATAACTCAAGCTCAAGCAGGCGTTTCCACAGGCCAACTATAATTTTTGTTTAATTTCCCCATAATTTTTAATTAATAAGAAAGGTTTTAAAGTATAAAACATAAGTACATACATGATTTTTGCTGTTTTCTGCTGACTGCACCACATGAAAAAAGAAAATAAGGAAGTGTGTGAAGTTTCTAAAAATACTATTCATACTTTGAAAAGCATAATAAATTGATTTTTTTACCTCTTCATGTATTTTTTATCATCTTCCTTTTGATCAAGCCAGAATTTTTCTGGAAGTGACTTTTTAGATAAATAATACCTATATAGTTATTAAGGAAACTTTAAAAACAACAATAAAGTCATAATTTTTATTTATTTTTTTAAATCCTTACCCAAGGATAGTTTTCTATTTATCTTCAGATAGGGTGGGAGGCAGGGAGAGGGAGAAAAGGAGAGGGGGAGGGAAAGAAGGAAGGGAGAGAGACAGAGAAACGATGTGAGAGAGACACATTGACTGATTGCCTCCCACAGGATCCGAACTGAATGGTAACTGAGATAGGTGCCCTTGACCACAACCTAACCCAAGACTCTCTGGTCTGTGGGCTGACACTCTAATCGCTGAGCCAAACTGGCCAGGGCAAGTCATAATTTTTGTGAGACTTATCTAAAGTAGACATTCATATTATATAATCATGAAAGTCACACTTGAATCCTAGCTAAAATCAATTCCTCTCAAAGCCCTTTTCAGGTCTGTAAAAATTTTGATAAAATTATGTACACCTCACAGGGTTGTTATATGGGTTAAATATTACATATAAAATCCCACAACTTGGGGCCTGTATAAAATATATAAATGCTAGTTTCTCTTACCTTCCCTTTCAGAAGCGGCTAAAAGAAAAATACTCAATGTTTTGTTTAATTCCTTTTTCCTAAAACATAGAGAATATAATAGATGAATTTGATTGGTTGTCCAGGGTAATTTAGGACGACCAATGTCTTCGTATTTCTCAAGTTAACAGAGAAAAGTTCAGAGTTGTTCTCTACCCTAATAAAAATAACAACACTTAGATCAAATCTACCAGAAAACCTCCCTCTCAAACGTCTTAAAACAGGCCTCTGCAAACTCTTAATCAGAAATATCCTTCACTAACAATTACTGATTGTATATCATGTATGTCAGGCACTATGTTAGGCATTAAGTACTGAGAACAAAGATACAAGAAAACATTATCCCTGTCCTCCAGAAACTGACATAGCTTTTACTCTCATTATTTGTTTCCAAATTTGGAAGTGAACCAGTGACTACTTAAGTTTCATTAATCTAGAATTTCACTGTACAACACATTAGCCAATCGCCACATGTGTAACTACCAAATACTTGAAATGTGGCTAACATGAACTGAAGTGTATGGTAAGTATAAAATACACCCTGAATTTCAAAGAGTATGAAACAAAGAATGTGAAAGATCTCAATGTTTTTATAGTAAATGCTGAAATAACATTTTAAATATACGAGGTTAAATAAAGTATTAAAATTAATTTCACCTGTTTTAAATGAGGCTAGTAGAAAAATTTTAATGATATATATGACACACTATTTTTCTATTAAAAGCAATGGTACTGCCCTGGCCAGTTTGGCTCAGCGGTTAGAGCGTCGGCCTGCGGTCCTGAGAGACCCGGGTTCAGTTCCCGCTAAGGGCATGTACCTCGGTTGCAGTTTGTCCCCGGCCCTGGTCGGTTGTGCGGGTGGCAGCCACTCGATGTGTCCCTTTCACATCGATGTTTCTCTCTCTCTCTCTCTCTCTCTCTGTTCCTCTCCGCCCCCCCCATCTGAACAAAAAATAGAAAAATGTCCTCGGGTGAGGATAAAAAAAAAAAAAGCAATGATACAGGTTATAATTGTAATGTCTGGGGAAGGGTGGGGAATAAGAAAGCCTAAAAAGGGTTAATGTATGATAATTAAAGGTACATAGACACTCTGAAATAAACACAGCTATAACTGGGAATAAAAGGAATAGAAAAATTCTGGCTTAGAAGGAGGTAGAAATCCATGAAATATAGATGAAAGAACTAAAAATAAACCACTATTCATATAAGAAAATTGAGTCCAAAGAAGTTAAACTGCTAACATCACAAAAAGATGAAAGAGACAAGGACAAGAAGCCAGGGGCTGAACCATGAATAGGGATCCACAACTTCTTGTGTTTGTGTGTGTGTGTAGGGGGGGGTGTCTTTATCCTTTTGTATTTATTTTGTGCTTTTTACTCAGATTCTTCACATAACACCTGTAAATTGGTAAAGTACAAAGTGAGAAGAACTTTTACATAGTCTAGTTCTGAATCCTTGGACAAATGAACAGCTCTTGATTTTGGCTTATATAACTCAAAATGGAGGATTGGACTAAATGATCTTGGACTAAAGGTTCTAGCTAACTTAAAACGTTCTTTGATTTCAAATCAATATTCACACAGTATAAAGAGTTGGCTGACAACAGAAACTCAAAAATATTGAATCATATCTCTGACTAAGCAATGAAACAGAGCCAAAGGAATAAAATGCAGCTCTTGCATAGGCAGGTAACATATTATATAGAAGTCTGGGGCCAAATATAATCCATCTAATAATTAACAGTGGTGTCTTTTGTGATTTTTGCATTTAGAGATTTTTAACCCTGAAATCTTCTTTCCTCATAATCATTAAAGGATACTCTTCTTCCAACAACATTTTCTCAATGGCAGCTCTGTTCTCTTCACTGATGGTGCTATCCAGAGTCCAAGGCTATTAAGAAAGAGAACATATTTTTCTTTTTATTTGTTATGTTTTGAAATTATATTCTATATTTTGTTAAATGAAAATACATAATGATACAATGATTACCAATAATGGCTACCATTTACTGAGCAAACAGACATATATTTGAGGCCCACAATAAGTCTATGAGATAGGCATTACTACTTCAGATGCATCCACAGCGCTGCTAACATTTCAATGGGGAGAGCAGAGACTGACACACCAGTCTGTCTGTTAGATTCCAAGGCTCAAGCTCCTATCCATGATAAACTATTAGTTATCAACATTTTGCTAAATACTTCACCTATTTCCAAAACTCACAATTATTTTTTCCTTCAAGCCACAATTGAATGATCGCATTCATTTTCAACTCTCAAAACTTAAAATTTTTCACCTCAGGTTTCCTCTCTAAGATCTAGACTGTTATTTCCAACTGCCCCCTCAAAATTTTCACTTGGATATCTAGCAGCCTTCCTAAATTTAACATTTAAAACATAACTCACCATCATACCCTCCTTCACCTGCTTCTTCCCTGGCCTTCCCAACTTTGTCCATGGCACTACTTAGTCACCAAGTTATTCCAGCTAGAAACCCAAGAATCATCCTGGATTCTTTCCTTTTCCTTCAATCCCATATCCAATCTACCAAGCAGCTCTACCTCTAAAATATAACTTAATTAAATCTGTCCATTTCTTTCTCCTCTGCCACAACCTCAGGCCAAGCTACCACCAAATCTTGCTTAGATTACTCCAGTTTCCTAACTGGTCTCTGGATTCCATTCTTGCTTCCTACAAACACGACGGAGCTCTCACCGCCTCTCCAGCCTTGTCACAGATATCACTTCCCCCGGCCACGCCACCCCTCCCCATCTTCTAGACACTTGGCTTCCAACCAGAGTCTCTGTGCTGTTCTTTCTGCCGAGAATGTTTTTCCTCAACTCTTCATATACCTACTCCTTCTTACTATTACTTTTCAACTTAAAAGTCACCTCCTCAGTTTCCCATATGGAAAACTTTATCTAAGGTAGGTTCTCCATCCTGTTACTCTCAGTCAGCATCTAATTTCTTTCATGATTTATAATGAGTCTGTTTACTTGTTTAACACCTGACTCTCCTTTAGACAAGGAACTCCTTGACAGCAGAACCATATTTGTCTTAATTATAGTTGAAACCCTCAAATCGGGCCTAGTGTCTGGCACACAGTAAATACTCAACAAATAACTGTTAAATGAGGAAATGAACCCTGCAATGATCCTCATTTTTCAGATGATGAAACTGAGGTTCACAAATCTGGTAAGTGGCAAGGATTTGTACCCAAATCCAACTAGATCAAAAATTGTTTCCCAATAGGCCATTTTTCAAAGTGAAAAGAAATAAGAATTAGCATTTGCTATTTTTACAATAAGCAAAATGTTTCAATATATTACTTCTGTGATTGCTGAAAACTAGCACCAAACAAAAAATAAAATAAAAGAGGTACTTTGGGTAATGAATAATAGTTTAATGTACCTGATATATTCATAAAATACTTACAATAAGACCATTCTCAGTTCTCCATGATGAATCAAGATAGTGATCTTGTAAAACAGATGCTGTATTTTCATCACTTCTGTAATAATTAAGAAAATGGGTATAAAAGTGATATTATACAGTAAATGTATACAATTTACACAGCAGCGGCTGGCAGGTTGAGATATTAAGCAAATATTTAGTTCCTTTCTCCTCTTAATGAACAGATTTAATGTTGCAGAAATGCCTACTCTACTTCGTTGGCCTGTGAAATATACAGTGGCTTTAAGTTACTCTATAATGCTCAACATCAAGTCTGTTCACTTTTTTGTTTCCCAAGAATAAACAACTTCATGAGGAAAAAAAATAACCCAAAGCAACAACCACGCATGCTCTGTGGCCATGAACCAACACTTCAGATTTCTTTTGAGGAGTATCCATGTGTATGCAGGAATTCAACTTTACAATTAATTCTTTTTGATATACCTAAAGCATAAAAGCCACCAGCAACAGTACCACCCTCAAATGAAAAAACAAAAACAAAAAAACAAGAATGGAGGAACCTGAACAGAAAATACTTAAAGAAGAACAGTACAATGAAGAGATAAGTGTGACGTTTTAATAACAACTCATATAGTTTAACAAATTAACTTGGGTTATTTGGGCTCTTTTCTATGTCCATTAGGAATTAAACTTTGTTAATATGCTCCTTTCATTAAACTAATAAGATCTCTCTTAAGTCACATGTTCACTTCATATGCAAAAGGGCTGAACAGTTAAACATTTAAGTTTTGGGAGGCCCAATCTATGATATAATCAAATATTTGCTTTTGTATGTCCTTAAGTTAAAAAGTTTCTTAGTGAAGTTACCGACTTTTCCCAGATCTGGTGTAGTGTAAGAATTTGACTGGAAAAATCTATCTATAGAGTTATGTTTTTGAATTTTCAATTAGTCCTACATTAGTCAAAATGAATTGTGGGGCTAACAGACTATCTACAATAAACTAAAAGCAATAACGTCTCTCAAATATTGATGGCAAAAAGGTTTTAACTCAAGTGTCAGCTCAGATTTTGTAGGGGCTACCAGGAATGTAAAATAAAGGATTCTGAGACTTTCATAAGCAGAAGAAAACTTCTACTTAACTAACTAGGTCTGCCAAGGATGTAGGAGGAGGGACGAGTATCACTTCAAGTTTACTTTAGAAATCTTTTTACATAGTATTGCTCAATAAGGATTAGCAATGTCCAGTCCACACCTCTGGTATATATCTGGACACCTACCTGAATCTCCAAAGGTACCACAAATTAATGTTTAAACCTGAGTTCACTTTTCCTCCTAAATATGCTACTCTTCTATCATTACCTATCTCAGTCTATAGCACCTCCATCCCCTGAGAGGCCCAAGCCAGAAATCTGCGCCTGCCCTTATCTCCTCACAATGCACATTCAATCTGTTGCCAATTCTGTTGCTTCTCCCTTTTCCAAACCCAGTTTTTGCACTATATCCACAGTGACCCTGGAGGTGCTATAATTTCAGACTTTATAATTTTCCCTGGTTAACTGCAAGGGATAAGGTTGATAAGTTTCCACCTTCCCTCCTTTATCTTTTCCACTTATCTCCATCTGACATATACAGAAAGTTTACTGTCTCATCTAATAAGAATGTTAGTTCTATGAGAGCAAGGACTGCATACCCAGGGCTTATCATACAAAAGGTGCTCAGTCAATATCTCTTAAATGATTGAATGAATGGGGTAGGTAAGGCATGGATCACACAGATCTCTATTAGGAGTTAAGGAATGAAGAAGGCTTTACCATAAAGCCAACTGAGGATTGAAGAAAATAACATGATCAGATCTGGATGTAAGAAAGAATGCTCTAATTTCAGGAAAGAGTAGAAGGAGCCAAAAAGACAAGGAGCAGTTAAGAGGGAGTGATTATATAAATACTAGAAAAGGGTGACAGTAATTTAGACCTAGGGAACAAGCAGTCTGATAGGAAGAAGTAAGTGAATGTATTTGAGAGGATACTTAAAATCAACAGACACTTCATAACTGACAGATGGAGTAGAAGGAGAGAGGTAAGGAAAAGGTGCATGTAGGTTTGTTCCTTTTGTGACTGGGTGAATGGTGCCATTTACTGAAGTAGGGAACCTAGAGAGGCAGGTTTGGTAGAGACAGTTTATAAGCTGAGATTGAGGTGCTGGTGGAACTTCCAAATGCAAACAGATTCAGAAAGTTGGATAAATGGATCTGAAGCTCAGGAGAGATGTGGGTTCGCAGCAGATTTGGGAAACATCAACACGTATTAGGTGAACTTATGAAACTGCCATTTTTGCAGGTAAAAAATGGTCAAACACTGGCATACTTGTCCAACCCAACAGACAGAAATTTAAGTCTTGAGAGATGGTATCACTAGGACTGTGTGGTTACTAAGTAGAAGTCTTATGACAAAACCACTTGGAACACTATGATTTAAAGTTCAAGCAGAAGGAAAGGAGGATGAGAAGGAATGGTAGAAGTAGAAGGGAAATCAAAAAGTTTCAATGCCATCTCCTAACTCTGGTACCTAGCACTTAGCAAGTACAAATGCTCCTTGACTTATGATAGAGTTTTATTCCAATAAACCCATCTTAAGTTAAAAATCTCCTAAGTCAAAAATGCATTTAATACACCTAACCTAACAAACATCATAGCTTAGCCTAGCCTACCTTAAACATGCTCAGAACACAATATCCAAAAAACACTGGCAACATAGTTCACTATAAAGTATCTGCTGTTTACCCTTGTGATCCAGTGCTTGACTAGGAGATGCAGCTTGCTGCCAATCAATGCCCAGCACCATAACACAGTACAGTACCTGCATATCACCAGCCAGGGAAAAGATCAAAATTCAAAGTACAATTTCTATTGAATATGTATTGCTTTTGCACTATTGTCAAGTTGAAAAACCATGTCAGGGGGTATTATTCCCTAGAACATAATGTTACTGATACTCCTTGGAGTTGGTAAGGAAACCAACAACCTTTGTAATCCTTCTTGCATAAGACTATGATAATCATAGGTGCCACCAGTAGACCTAAGGCTCAAACAGAGTAAGAAAGAGAAAGAAAAAAAGAGATAAGGGGAAAAAATTAAATACAATCAGAAAAATAAAGAAGAACCTATGGGGAAAGGGTAGCGCCAATGCTCGCAGATGATCTTTAGTGTTTCCAAGGTCACCTTATTTCTCTCTGGGCTGCAGATAAGTATCCTTGCCCACTTAGCTCATATACTTCTTGTGAAAAGTAAATTAAATCACACATGTAAAAGTGCTTGGTCAAGATCAACTTGACCTACACAAATGTGAACAATGATTGTTATTAAAGGCTGCCTACTTATTTTGTATCACTTTGGACAGCTCTGCCTAAAGATTTTGGAAAAAATGACTGTCTATGAATTTAATTACTCCGCACATTTTTACAGTGCTTTAGCATTCAGGGGCACTTTAAACGCTCTATCTTAGTCCTTCGTGGACTGGATAAGTATTCTCCACCATTTACAGAGGCCCTAATATTAGGTTGCACCATAAGAAATTGCTACTTTATAGGTCAAATTGGTCTAAGACTGAAAATTTCACATGGTTCAACCTAATCTATTAGGTTCTAATACAGTTGTTCAGTTACAAGCAAATAGCTGGCTGAGTTTGGAACCGAAGTCTTTCGATTCCTCATCAGTCTAGGCGTCTACCATTACTAAAAGGAGACTCTGGAAGCACATTTTAAAAAGTGGCATGTATCAATTTCCTACTCAGAAAGCAAGGAGTCCAAGGGCTAGATCTCTCAGGCCAGATGTTGTTTAAAAACCACATTGGCTCAGCGGTTAGAGCGTCGGCCTGCGGTCCACCAGAGAGACCCGGGTTCGGTTCCACTAAGGGCAAGTACCTCGGTTGCAGTTTGTCCCCGACCCTGATTGGGTCATGTGGGTGGCAGCCACTCGATGCGTCCCTTTCACGTCGATGTTTCTCTCTCTTTCTCTTCCTCTCTCTCCCTCCGACTCTATCTGAACAAAAAATGGAAAAAGTGTCGGGTGAGGATAAAAATAAAATAAAATAAAAATAAAAAATAAAAACCAAATTGACCTGTTATGCAGGAATTCGAATCAAATGAATGTTGATTCGTCGCTGAGTCCTCAAAACACCATCCTTGGGAGTGACGGATGGTAAAGAACACGACATTTGTGGAACACCTACCAGATGAAAAATGCACCCCATAATTATTTCATTTGCTCCTCAGGATAACCGTATGTGGTACATATCAGGACTGTCAGCGTACACACGAGCTGTCAGAGGATGAGCGCAGTTCAACGCCTGGCCCAAGGTCACACTGCCAATAGCAGGAGGGGCCAGCCAATGCAGGGGATCCCAGAGCTGTCCGGCTCAAGTCCTACCCCGTCCCTTAAAATCAAGCTGCCTCTCAGGAAGTTTTTCACAACGATCCCTCTGTGGAGGAGGAAACCCGGGGCCAGAAGGAATGAAACGACACGCCCAAGGTCACACGGCTGGCAAATAATGGGGCAAGGATCCCTGAGCTCAGGTCCGGTCCAGGGCCCGCCCTGTTCTAGTTGCTGTCAGGCGGGGGCAAAGGGCGGATCGTGGTGAGAGTCGGAGGGTTGGAGAGGGTGCAACGTGCCGGGTGAGGTCGGCGCCCTCACGGCATCCCGGTAAAAGGTGCAGGAGCCGTGCGACACCAGCCCCGGGCCCGGCCGCTGGGCTTCAGCAGCCGGCGGGCGGGATGGGCGCCGCCCTGCGCCGGCTGCCAGGACATCCTATCCCAGCGGAGGTTCTTCCGCTGCCTGTCCCTGGGCCCGCCCGCGGCCTGTCTAGGGTACTCTCCGCGCACCCGCCCCTCTGCGCCCCGCGAGACCCGGTCTCTACGCCTCACCCTGGCTGTGCCGCCGCTGCCACCACGTCCCCTTCGATATCCACATCCGCCTCCTCAGCCGCCATGATGGGACCTGACCCCATCCGTCCTCCCGAAGGATCCCGCGAGAGGTGGAAGGCCTGGGGTGGGGCGGCACGTCACGGGGCGGGGTCGAAGCCTGGTGCCGCCCCACCCCACCCGGCTTCCGGAGCAGAGACCTCCCCAGCGGCCGGGCGCGGCCCTTTGGACTTTTGTTGATGTTTAAAGACCTTGGGAAGTGCTTTAGGCTTAGGTTTTGAGGAGGTTACGCTCTTGGACCGATCCTTTGGCACCCCATCACGTCTCCCATTTGTAAAATGAAGATAGTAGTCAATATCTTTCTGGAATGCTGATGAGATCAAGCCAGACCTGCTTGGAACTGAAGGCAGCTACAGTGAAGGGCCCTTACCTGCTGGTTCCTTCTTCTGTGCATTCCTTCTTTTTGTTTTCTTTTTTCTTTCTTTTCTCTTTTCCCTCTTCCTCCCTAAGACTATTCAGCACTTATGTGAAGTGCTGAACAACTATTTTCAAATTCAAAACACATGTAAGACTATAACATGATTACATATTTTATTTTGTAGAGATCTTTACAATTAATTAAGAAGTCGCTCTCATGACCGTTGATCTTTACAATGACCTGGTGAGGTGCGTAGGACTGGTATCATCAATTACACTTTGCAGATGGGAAACAGGCTCAGAAAGTGGAGATGACTGTGAACGGATTCACAGCTCGTCAAAGTGAAAGCTGGGATCAGAATCCAGGTTTCTTTGATTCTTTAAAGAGTGCTCACCTTCCACAAGGTACATTGTTAGGAACCGTGAAAGATAAAGACTAATTTCTCTCAAAGAATGTATGTCCTCTCAAGAAATTAGATATTGGCTTAGGTATTGTTCTACCTTAGTATTTCTCACTCACATTGTTGTAACGCTTTGTTCACTTGTCTCCGGGTTGTGAATTCTTCTAGGACAAAGGCTGTATCCACCAGCCTTTATACTACTAACATTCAGCATGGTGTCTGACACATGGTAGGTGCTTAATAAATATTAAACTGATGAATGAATCAATCAATTCATGGAATGAATACACTTCCCATACTATTCTCATTTTGTTCCATCTCACTTTTGTTGGTGCTCAGGGCATAGCTTAGTTGTACTATGAATAGGATGGCAGAAGATGGAGAGAAAGATTTGTAACAGAGGAGATCCACTGCTCAGAAACTGAATATTGTTCCATCCTTAGGCCACCCTGGGGGTGTTGTTTCTGTCGTTCAAGGGTTTATCCAATGGCCAGCCCCAATGGTAACTGGAATGCCTGACACAGAGTAGACATTCTAAAATGTTTATTCAATTTAGTTTAAAGCAAAGTAAGAAAGATTTACATGGCGAGGTAGTCAAAAGAAAATATAGAGTAGAGATGCCTTTCATTAATTTTTATGTAACAGGCTGGGATGGGAACCCTGGTAGTACTGTCTGGATACACATGATATCAGATGCCTCCTAGCACATAGCACAAAATACTATGGGAACAATTGCTCTTGCAACACTGCGCTGAAGGCTTTCTGGCCAATTGCCAGGCATCAGTAGCACTAAACTATAGGTGGAAGGAAGGAAAGGCCTCACATAATCCACATATGCCCCAAGGCCTTTAGAGTAGCCTGAAGCCTCCCCATACATACCCTACATGATGTTTGTTCCTGGTTAGTTGGCTTTATGTGAAACAGGCTCATAAGCATACAAGCTCAACCCCACCTGCCAGGATAGGACTGTAACCTCACATCCAGGGAACTACTGAGGCCTGATCTATCTTAAAATTCCTGTTCTAGAGTTCTGCAACTCTGTAACTTCTTTAAAGACCCATTTCTCACCAAGCAGTTTGGAAGCAGAATGAAGAATTCAGAATTCATATTTCACAATTACTTGTACTCCTACTGTGCCCAGTACTGAGGACATGGCACTAAACAAGACAAAGTCATAAAGTGTATGAAACATGCAATTTCAAGATGACATAATAATTTCTATGATAAAGGAGTTATAGGCTGTTGTGGGATCACAAAGGGGCACTTATCCCAGAATGAACCCTCTTCTGCACCACATTTTTGAGGATGATATTGATCAGTCAAAATTTGAGAGTAATGCTCTAGACTCTGGGGAACAAAATAGAAGATCCTGTTCTCTAAATTGAAGAGAGAACCAGTGGAAAAACAATGGAAGGAATTTCTATTAAACGTGTATTGCTTTTGCACCATTATAAAGTTGAAAAATCATGGGCACTATTCCCCAGAATCTAATATTACTGATACTCCTTGGAGTTGGTAAGGCAATGTCTCTGACCACCAAGAATCAACAACCTTTGTAATCCTTCCTGCATAAGACTAAAATGATCATGGGTGCCACCAGTAGACCTAAAGCTCAAAGAGAGTAAGAAGAAAGAGAAAGGAAAAGAGAGGTAAGGAAGAAAAATTAAATACAGTCAGAAAAACAAAGAAGAACCTATGGAAAAGGGGTAGAGCCAATGCTTTAAGATGATCTTTAGTGTTTCCAAGGTCAACTTATTTCTCTCAGGACTGCAGATGAGTATCCTTGCTTTATTCCTATGGCCCATAACAGTGCTGGCTGCATAGTAGGCATTCAACAAGTATTTGCTGAATTAATAAATGGTTGCCAAAGGCCGTAAGTAATAGCATGAAGCCGTTATATTGGAAGCATATTTAACTCACCTTGTTCTGATTCCACACTCAGAAAGCAGTCTTCAGATTTTGCGAATTACAGTCCCACAGAAATAAGAGAATGGACTGATTGATCATACTGATGTGAGTTTTATAGACACATGGCAGTCACAATTTTCAATGCAAAGAGCAATTTGACAGATCACATCAATCTTGCAAGCCTTTCAGGTAGTGTGAGTCAGCCTCCTGGGGTCTGCCCACTATGTACATTGAGAGGACAAGCCAGTTTATAGACAGTTAAGTGTGCTATGTGGCCTTCTACCTGTCCCAAACAGTCTTCACATTGTCATACATCCTCACATCACCTTTTGCTAATTTTGTACAAAATGACCAAATTTAACTGAGATAGTGCTACAATTTCAAGTGATCATATTTTCCCCATGAAAATGAACTTTTATATTTATTCTTAATCCCTCCCTTTAAAAATTAATTATATATCTTTAAATATATAACACAGATATAGGGAAGAACATTTTAATTTATTATGGTGCTCTTCTTTCCTGTAAACTGAATGAATGTCAGAATAATTTTAGATAGGAAGGGGAGAAAGCTGTGTTACACACAGAGAGGGTGGACCTGCTATATCCCAGATATTGTGTAAGGCAGGATCTCTTTTGGGTCAGCCTATATTTACTACAAGAAATGTTGAAGAATGTTCTTCAGGAGAAAGAAAATAATATCAGATGGAAATCTGGATTTGCATAAAAGAAGAAAGAGCACAAGGAATATCTCCCAGGAATCCTGCATAGTGATATTATCACCCCCCATTTTAGAGGTGAGAAAACCAAGACTCAGAGTTATAGTCACAGAACTGAGTACCTGACCTGGGACTTTCTCACTCCATACGTAGCCTATTATATTTTCGTATTATAACAGAAGAAGAGGGTATTTAGCAATACTGTGTGAACTTGCATTTTCTCATTTAGTTTAAGAGTAAATCACAGAAAAAAAATAACTTTCTCATTTCTTTGAGGTGCTGAAGTCTAGAAATGCGTAGAAAGTGTAGTTTGAAGTTTGGAAACTTGTCTTGGGTTTAAAATTTTCATTCTCCCCATGAACACACTTTATTTCCTGTGTTGACCCAGAAACAGAACTAGAAGGAGGTGCCCGTACCTGTAAATCCTCATGAAGGTTGTCAGAGGAACATTCAGTCAATAAAGTATCTGTCTCATATTTCAAGTACATTGTGCTTGAATCCATTAGAGAGACAGCTTATTCCTTTTGTTTTTCCCCATTTGTGGTGAAAAAAAAATCACTGCATTTTTATTGAAAAAGTAAAGTGTAATTGCAATATTAATCCATAAAAGTTGGCATGTTAGCGTTCATGCTAATTAGCTGAGATTTGCAAAGAGCTTTAAAAGCGGGAAGTGTCATACAATTGCTCGCTAATGTTATTGCTCCGTTATGATCCAAACTGTCAGCTAAATGATTGCCAGGGATTCAAAAGCGCTCTCGTTTAAAAAATAAAATGGCCAGTGAGCAGGGAGGAAAACTACTTTATCTACATAGAGTGAGATAATAGATGAATGCAGACATAGACTTATAGGCTACATTTGGCAGGCATTGGATATGGCTTGAATTGTTCCAGGAAAAACAAGCTGCATTTTATTTTATTTTCCTTCCCCAATTCCCTGAAATCACATAAGGTAGCCACTGAAAAAGCTGTTCTCAATATGTTGTAAGGAAAGTCTGCCAGTATACTTCTTACATTTTAATTACAGTAATGCTACATCCATCTGACAGTATTCGGAAGGGGAAGAAAAGATGCCAACATTAATGAGTTCCTACTGTGTGCCAGGCATTTTACATACATTATTGCTTTACAGCCCTTGGAGGTAAGGAATTGTTATTTCCATTACAGATGTAGTAACCAAGGTCCAGAATACTAGAACAATTTACCCCATGGGAATGTAGCTTATCATCTTTTCATTACATCATGCTATCTTAGCTTGGGTACTAATAGCATCATTCAGAATTGCATTTTTCTTCTCAGCAACCCCACTGGAAGGATTACACCTCTTTCTCAATAGCTATGAGAGGCTGGGTATGGTTGGGCAGGGTTGGGTCACATGCCATCCCAGAAACCATGTGGACTCAGATCCACCAGGACTACATGGAATAGGGAGGAGTGGTGGTTCCCCAAACAAAATAAGTCTACTGTTTCCAGAAAGAGGAGAAATGGATGCTGAGTGGGCAAAACAACAGATGCCCACTCTACTGTTCTATGGTGCAATTCTCCTCTATTCCCCTAAGCCTTTAGTACAATCTGTTAGCCACCGCAGGCTCACGCTAGCATTGCATCAGGCAAATTAACTCAACCTCTCTACACTCCTGCTTCT